CGATGGGTATCAAAACATATGCAACCGGGCCAGTAGGTGGTGTAGTGGTTAAGTCTCTATACTTCCACATGGCTAGCTTGGGGTTCAAGTCCCAGACCTCCTGGAAGCTTGCTTTCTCATTCCTCCTCTCCTCCCCTCCTTTTCCTTCTCCCTCTCCCTCTCCCTAACTCTGTCTGGTGAGCATGCATGCCCTGTAGCTAGTTAAAAAATGATAATAATGATAAATAAAATAAGTAATTAAAACAAAAATGTTACCTGGCTTTAAAGGTACTACGCCGGGCCAGAACCTTGGTCAGTGTGAAGTGATATGCCAGCCTGACACTGACCCACAGCTGTCCCTATACCCTACTTATTACCCAATATGATCTCTTCAACTCCTGACTATCAGATGGAAATGCATGAACAGTTTTCCTATTAAACTTAAGAGTCAATTGACAAATACATCCATGGAGTGAACACGTTAAAAAATATTTTTGCCAACAATATCATTACTCTACTCAGTCTTGAGTAAACCAGTCAGGAAAGATAGCCTCTAATGAAGTAGTTACTTAGATTTCAAGATACATTTTCCTTTGAAAACAATGTTATACTCAGCTCTCCAGGCTAATCAGTGAAGGCCTATTGAATACTCCTGTAACACCCTGGCCCTTCACCACACATCTTGCCTTGTTTCTATGGGAAATTCTCTGAGTTCTGATTTACAAATAGCAAAATCACATCTCCCCATAAATCCCTTCCCCCAGCACAAGCTCTTTGTTAAGACTGGAAACCTTTCTTTCGATATAGTATTGGGCTCGGGTTGGTAGGAAGCCAGAGGGAGGATCTCATCCCAGAGTTTCTTCGCTTCCTGTACACAACATTCTTTACCTTAGCACAGAAAGCCAAATAAAGGTGGAATTGACTATGCATGTTATTCCTTATCTTCATAAATAATTTTTTATGGTGAAAAATTACCAGAAAGTGAGAATATGTCATAGTCTTATCAAGCAACATGATATGTAAGATGTTTCTAGACAGTATCAGATACCACAGAGGTACTGAATGATTCAATGTTACTGAATGACTGGCTGGCAGGAGAAGTAGGTCAAAGTGTGCGGGAAGTCAGAAAAAACTAACTCGAGATAAGGAAAGAATGGTCACATATTAAAGACTTACTTAGATAAAGAGCTCATTATGTGGATTTAAACTATTCTATTCAATAAGAACTTCAAGCTGATTTCCTCTTATAAAGTGATTTTTTTGCATACCTAATATAAAAATAAAAGTAGCAGAGCCAGCAGGTGACATGGAGGTTAAGGCGCTGGATCCTACATGGCTGTCTTTGTGGTTTGAATCTCACACCTGCCAGCTTGAAAAACACTCCAGGAACATGTGCATACCATGCCCCAAATCCTGAGAGAACAAAGGAGAAGGATTGCAGCATGGCTGTCCCTCCAGGTGGGTGATTTCTCACTTTCCTCTTTCTCTGTCTCGCTCTGGTGAGCACAAGCACCTCACAGCAAAACTTAAAAAAAAAAAAAAAAAAGGCAGACTATCTTTGAATTTTAAATCACTTGTATTCATCTCTTGAATAATCAGGTCCTATTAAACTTCATTAATTTTGCATTTTACAACAGTCTTCTGCATAAAGAAAAACATGAAAATGTAAGGCAACACAGTGTTTATAACTATCTAATTAGCCAGGCTTTGGACTTAGGCCTGGTTTGAATTCCTGAGCCTGCCACTTAGTGGTATTATAACCTTCAGCAAGTTACTGAAGCCCTCTAGGCCCCAGATTCTTTATCCATAAAATGTGAGTAATAATTCCTCATTGGTTCACTGTGATGTTTCCATGTGATCTATGTAGAGCTTACTTAGCACAGACTAAGGCACAACAGTGGCATTCAACAGAAGCTACTGTTGTTATTGATGTTATAAATGTGTTCTTGGAGAAAGACAGCAGTCTTCCACAAAACCCAGTTTTAGTTACCCATGAAAATTTGACCTTAAATATTTGGCATATATCTATAATTAAAAAGATAAATTTCTTTTTTTAATTGTATTTATTATTATTTTTAATTTTCTTATAGGGCATGTGAGCTCACCACAGAGGGAGAGAAAGCAAGTAGCCAGGTCTGGGATTCGAATCTCAGCCACATAGGAATCCACTGCCTTAACCATCATGTCACCTGCTGACCCTGATAAATTTCATTTCTTCAACTGACTGGTTCCATTTCTGTAGTACAGGAAGATCTAAAAATAAAATCTATGAAGGGCTTTCCAAAGGTTCATGGAAAATGGAATTTAAGTATGAAATTTTTTTGGTGCCAAAAAATATTTTCAAGAATGCATTCATAGTTTTTTCATAACATACATTTTCCATATATTTTTAAAAGTGCCCCCCAACTCCATGTATCTGAAACAAGAACGTATCTTGGGGCTTGACAGTGACACAATGTTAAAATGGTAAAACCCTATGTTCTTCAAGGCTGACCCACAAGGGAAGGTTCCAGGTTCAAGTCCAGAGACCTCCTTGAAGACTGTGGGTGCAGGTTCAAGTCCAGAGACCTCCTTGAGGACTGTGGGCATACACCTATGTCCACAATCTGGACTGGCTGAGATGGGGGATGGGTTGAAGTATCAAGACTCTGTTGGGGGACTTCTGCCTGTCTCTCTTGTTCATAGAAGAAATAAATTTCTAAAAAGTCCCTCTCCATGGGACCAGCAGTTAGCATAATGGCTATGTCACTGGACTCCCATGTAGTCAACCGCGGTTCACGTCCCGGACCTGGTGGCTTAAACTCACACCAGGCGTGTGTGCGTGCGTGCCCAAGATCCTGAGAGAAGAATGGAGGAGAAGGGATTGCGGCATGGCCATCCCCCCTGGGGGGGTGATTTCTCACTTTCTGTCTCTGTCTCTCTCTGTCTTTCTGGCGAGCACACACGCCCTTTAGCTAAAAATCTCTCCAAAAAAAGAAAAAGAAATGTTCCTTTCCATTACAAATAGCTATTAATTAGTTGAGAATAAATAGAATGTACTCAAATATGTATTTTATACTTGTTATGAAGTCTCTGGTGCAAGAAATAATTGACTCTAAAGATCAGTTATCATACTTATTCACGGTATGGTCAATAGAAGTTTTTTGATACATAAGGTAAAGTATCTGTCATATCTTATGAGAAGCTTTGAGCAGCAAAATGCAAGTTATCTCAACTCATCATTGAATTCTAATTACGGATAAAATAGCCCATAATATTCAGGTATCCCTGCGGGGGGGGGGACAACAAATGAATGACTCACCTCTGGGTGGATCTAAAAGGGCTAGTTACGCAGCAGTCCAGACCTATGAACAATTCTGCTTCACAGTTACAAGGAGTGCTGGCTGGCCAAAGGGATCACAGCTGGCTTGGGAGACTTCCAAAGCAAAGGGCTTGGGGGAAGTGGAGGAGGAAAAGGCTTAGCCAGAATTCCACAGTGAAACTGGAATCGTGGCAGCTTGCCTTCAGAGGATGGTGGTAGTCTGAAGATAGGTCCAAGCCACTCTCACAGTCATGCCTCACAGAGCAGGGGCAGATTCCAGGAGGTGGGACAAGTGTTCCTATCAAAGCAATGTCCGTTAACGTTTCTGAGAAGGACCAGCAGCTAAGGCCAGTGTCCTGACACTATAGGCAAACAATCTTGGCTCCTATCAGAACTCCCTTCAGATAGTTGTTTGACATTTAATTGAAACATTAGCATAATCACAGAGATGAGAAAATGCTTAAAACAAAAACAAAAACAAAATGTTTACAAAACAGGCACCAATGCCCTTTATATTCTCAAATAAGCTTTGCTATTACACTTCTGGAAATGTTCCTTAGAACAAAAAAGGGCTGTAAAGAACATGGGTCCAGCAGGTGGCATGGTGGTAAAGGGCACTGGACTCCCACATGACCAACTGCAGTTTGAGTCCCAGACCTGGTAGCTTATTTTCTCACTTTTCCTCTCTCTCTCTTCCTCCACTGTCCCTCCTTGGTCAAATTAAAATAAATAAAATAAAAAAATTTTAAAAAAGAACAAACATAACAGACATATTTTGGAAAATGAGAAAAATTTTCATTTTATGAACTACATAACCTATATAAATATACTGCTGATATTTATAAATGTCTTTAAGTCAATATCCTATTTTGCTAAAAATAAACTCTCCAGGGACCAGTAGGTGGCATGGTATTTAGGGTGCTAGATTCTAACATGGCTGACTATGGTTTGAGTCCTGGACCTGGTGGCTTGCTTTCTCTCTCTCTCCCTGGTCAAATTGAATAATAATAAATAAAACTAAATAAATATTTTACAAATAAATAAATTCTCCATTAACCAGTTCCCCCAAAGAAGTAACCTAGAAGCAGAAAAACAAAAATTATTAGCTGTGATTCAATAAGCTAAGTGCAACAAATGCGGTATAACTGGGTAGTGTGGCAGTCCAGAGGACAGAGGGAGAGGGAAAAGAGGTTAAAATACAAAAAATTAGGAAAATCATTTTAGAGAGGCTACAAGGGTTTTAAAGAAAAATTTGATAGATAAGAATCTGACATGTTACCTACAGATTCAGACCCTACAGGATATATACATTGAAAGAGATTATATTAAATCTATTTACATTGTTGGACATGCGACAAAATGATTTGGCCTGGAAACATATTTACTGTATATAGCGAATCCTACTTTCACTCCCATCCCACTCCCAGCACAGTGGGGTCCAAGGGACAGGTTAGACACTGGCAGTCCTTTGTACGTCTCACCTGAACTACTCAGAGTAAATCAGTCCTTACGCCCATGCCTTCCAGACATGGACTACTGAATTACACGTGGTTGTTGGCTGTCACGACTCTGGGTATAGTGTCCACCCCTCGCCCCTGCTCACTCACATGAAATGGAAGTCTCCCATACTTTTGAGGACTGCAGTGCAAATGCAGGAACGCCCACGTTGAGAGCTGACCTGTCTCGAGTCTCCCAGTGGTTTTGTTTTTCTTTGTTGTAGCCATGCTTGGTATCAGGACCTACATTGCTACTTGTCTTCTCTTTGTCCTTTCTGCTGTTGCTTCTCCCACACGTCTCGGCTTTCAGGCCAGAAAGGTAAGCCTTGCTGCTCAGGGTCTTTTCTTTTCAGCCAAGAACCAGTCAATTAAGAGCATAATGGACATAATCTTTGCATCTGCCCTTTCTTCGCTTGCTGCAAATGTCTAAGAAAATTCTCTCAGAGCTTCCCCACCCTCTGGCTTCTACCTGGTAAAGAGATGCTTATGAAAAGTGGAGAAAAAGCCATCTCCAGCTGGCCCATCTTTACCGTGAGAGCAGAGAAGCTTCCTAGCATGGCACTGAAATGTGCTAGGCAGCCTCTGTAAGCGATCCCCAAACAAAAAGCAGGTGAGTGAGTTAGCCTTACCCACATTTTTCTGTGAGTGGTATTGGCTTATTTTTCCTATAGAATTATTTATATGTGTCATACACTGCTGGAACTCCAGCTCTGCAGTTCTTAAATGTTTTGGTTTTGGACCCTCTTCACATCTGTAAAAATTGAGGACCCCAAAGAGTTTTTGTTTATGTGTGGGCTATAACTGTCAATATTTATTGTATTAGAATTTAAAACTGGAACATATTTAAATACTTATTAAAAATAATAAAATCTGAGCCAGTGGTGGTGAAGCTGATTAAGGTGGCTAGATCCCATATGGCCGTATTTCAAATCCCAGACCCAGTGGCTTGAACAAACATACCAGGGATGTGTGCATACATGCCCCAAATTCCAAGATGAGAATGGAGAATAAGAAACTGCAGTGTGCCCATTCTCCCCTGGAGGGGAAGAGGTGACTTCTCACTCCTCCCCTCCCCCTCTGGTGAGCACATGAACCCTGGGTAAACTACAAAAATAACAATGAAGGTAAACAACTATGTGTTAACATAAATCACATATTTTTCTGAAAATAACTTTATTTTCCAAAACACAACGAAATAGTGAAAGGAGTTGACATTTGCATTTTTGCAATTCTCTTTAATGTCCGTTTAATACAAGGTAGCTGAATTTTCTGTATTCAATCTGTGGTGATGTGTTTTAACTGATCTATATGAGGAAAACCTGGTCTGACACAGACAGTGTAGCTGCATAAAGGAGATCACTGCAAATATTATTCTTTGATACCACACAAAAACTTGACAAATGAGTTTCTTAAAGGTTGGGTGTAATGCGGATTCTGAAACCATACGAGAGAACTTAACTTCCTTTATGTTGCCAAAGGATGCAAGTGCTCACCAGAGGGAGTGGGGAGACAGAGAGAAAGCATCCCCCATGGAATGTGGTCATGCGATCAACTCCTTTCCTCCACTTCTCTATCCCCTAGGGATTGAACACACAGGCACATAAGCCCCGTGTGACTTTTAAGCTGCCAGGCTGGAATTCAAACCGTGGCCAGCCATGAAGAATCCAGCTCCCTGGTCTGCTAAGCTACAGGATGAGTCCACTTTCTTTACTACATTAAAATCACTGTGTATCTTGCATTTTGAATGAATCATTTACCTGTGATGATTTTGATACTTTTTTTTTTTCAAAAAATGAGTAAAATGATCCTGAAAATTCAAAGAAATCAACTGACACTACTTATTGCCAGTGACAAAAAGGGTGGCCAAATCCAAAGAGTAGGTCCACTGTGCTCTACTTGATTAGTCTTTGGCTGAAAAGGTAGAAGGCCCTGAGAAGGAATGTCTTCCTACATGTGTCATTTGGAAAATGAGTTATGCAGATCTCCCACATGCTGATATACCTTATTATACAATATCTAAAAATTATATCCATTAATAATACCTTTGATTTCAAGGTGAGAACCTTAAACAGTTGTAAAACTTTCAGGCTAATTGTGGTGGATACACATTTTCCAAAATTCTAATTTTTCCTTAAAAGCTTGAATTTTATCACTGGCAACATTTATTATTTTTCAGTCATAGTACTCACTCTTAAGAAGATAGATAGCAAACATCCAACTCTGAGTTACCAAAGACTGTCTGACAGGTGTGTTTTCAAGTAAAAATGGGACTATGTGAAAAAGGTAATTCATTCAGCTTGCGATGAAAACAACTGCACAAGTGTTTCCCTCGGAGAAAACCAGTTTGCTATGCAGCTGAAATGCTTTATTCACTTCCCAATTCATCCCACACACAGGTTGTTAAAACAAACACTCAAGGGTCAAGACTTAACAGAATTGAATTTTTTAGTGATTCTTTGAGCACATCCTTAAGTGAAATCCCCCCACACATACACACACTACTGAACATGTGGTAGGGAAGAGTATCGTGACCACTGCGGATATGCTATCAATGGTGTGCACCACCTCAATGTACACTAAGGGGCCAGTACAGTTTTATCCCCACCTGTCTTTGTAGGCAGTGAAGAAGGCAAATAAGATATTAACTTAATTATGAACACAGTTTTGAACTCCCAGGCTCTCTCAAAGTGTCTTGGACACCCACAGGGTTCAGTGGACCATACTTTGAGAATTGCTAGTTTATCTTATTAACCAAACAGTGGACAGATAAAAGGAGCCAGCTTACTCCTCTTCTATTCTTCCAGTTGATTGCAATATGTCTAAGAGTGGCTAATTTTCACATTTCCAGACAATATTACCTAGAGCATCTTAGGTACCTATGGGCATGGTACAGAAGCTGAGGCTGGGAGTGGAGGTGTTCCCAGTAGCCTCAATATTGCAGGGGACAATTAGAATACAGCTTATAATAGAGGCAGGATTAAGAATTCAATGGACTTATTAGATGTAAAAGACTAGGTTACTTAGACTTTCTAGTTTGTGAAAATCAACTGAGATAATGTAAAAGTTAAATACAAACTTAAATTATTATAACTGATCCTTTCAAAAGGGTAAAATGAAAAGAATGAAGAGATGGGGAGAAAACATTAAGAGATTTTACTTCCCAAACTCTTCCCCTAATTAAAAATACTTTGCTTACCCTAGATTTACCCCCATCTCTATTAAGCACAATATTCTTTTATTTATTTATTTATTTTTGCTATAGGGCACATGCACTCACAAGAAAGACAAGAGACAGTCAGAGAGACAGAAAGTGAGAAATCACCCCCCAATGGGGGGATGGCCACGCTGCAATCCCTTCTCCTCCATTCTCCTCTCAGGATCTTGGGCACGCACACACACGTGCCTGGTATGAGTTTAAGCCACCAGGTCCAGGACTCGAACCACAGTTGACTACATGGGAGTTCAGTGACATAGCCATTACGCCAACTGCGGTTCCAAGCACAATCATTCTTAATTCTTAGCACTTTCTTTATTTTTAAAGAGGTTTCTGTGATGTGGGCTAGCAGGTGGTATGGTGGCTAATGTGCTGGACTCCCACATGGCTGACTTTGGTTTGAGTCCTGGATCTGGTGGCTATCTCATTTTCCCCTTCTCTCTCTCTGTCACTTTGGTCAAATTAAATAATAAATAATAATAAATAAAATTAAATAAAGAAATAGTTTCTTTTTTTTTTTTTTTTTTGAGGGGTTTTTCCCTATAGGGCCCGTGCATTTGCCAGACAGAAAGAAACACAGAGACAG